TGCTGAGGGAGACCCAGATGGAACTGTCTTATGCTGCCTTGGTATCTCTGTGTAGAACCAAGGTTGAGAACCACCGACTTAAACCAATAAATAAAATTCCAAGTGTGGCAGAGGAAGAGGCCAGGAGAGTCCTTGGAGACCGTCCCAGAACCCTCAAACTTCTCACCTGGGCCAGCGTTCCCACCCATTTGTCACCTGCGTCCCTCCTAGGTAGGATGGAGGCATCAGGCCGGCTGGATCCCGGGCCTTCTCTTCTTAAGTTCTCGTTTTCCGAATGTATGTGAACTGAGGTTGCTTTCGGACCCTGGCTGGCATTATAGCCCTGCTACCCACTTTGGGTTTTATTGAAACATGGTCTTTCACTAGCCTGGAACTCACCCAATAAGCTGGCACTTCCCATAGATCTGATTGTGTCTGCCTCCCCATTGCTGAGATTATGAGCACAAACAGCCTCCATGACCAGTTGTGTGTGTGTGACAGAGGGAGAGAGAAGAAGATATATATATATATATATATATATATATATATATATATATATATATATATATCACATATATATGGTTTCTAGGGCTTGAACTCAGGACATTGTATTTGTGTGGGGAGCACTATATCAACAGAGCATACCTCCAAGTTTTCTAAAACTTCTCAACTAATCGCGCATAGCTTCACACAACTGTGGGCTACACAAAGCAGAGGAAATGACGGTTCAGGGCAGATACAGATTCTCATTAGGGGAGAAGTATGAAACAAAGAGAAAAAACCAAAACAAAAAACAAACAAACAAAAAACAGCATTAGAAGCTCCAGAGAGGGGGGTGTTTGAAAAACCTGGGAAGAGTAGAAAGACAGAGGACAGGACAGACAAGGACCTGGACATTATGTGAGGAGTTTGGCTTTTCAGAGGCCCCTGAAGCAGCAGAACTGGGTGGCTGGACTTTGCACGTCAGAAAAGGCCATTCTCTTCCACAAAGGATGGATGTGAGTCAGCAATATGGCTTACAATTAGGAGCCACACAGTTCATCGGAAGAGAGAAAGGGCGAGCTCCATGGTTATTCTCCCGAATGCTGGAAAAGTACCGGGGCCATTTTAAACCAGAAAGCAGGTAACGGCTGAAGCACCTCAGGTTTAGCTCCAGCGAGCCAGTTCTTGAACTCAATCAGACAAGTGAGGCTCACTGACTTGGAAGGGTGTGCCAGCCATCGAGAAGCTTGGTGAGGACACAGAGCTCCACGCCCTTGCTCAGTGTGGATGCATGGCATGGAGAAACATCAGCAGGGACCGGATTTAGGCCTTTGCAATGGCCTAGGAACAAGGCTACACTCTCCTTCCATACACTCTGTAGAATAAACGTGAAGTGCTCCATAAACCAAGTATCCTTCAGAGCCCCAAGTCTGACCAGCCTACACTGAACAAGGCAAGATGGAGAAACAAAAGAAAAGAAAACAAAAAAAAAAGGTTGGTGTTTTTCTGAGCCTGTAACTGTCATGTGTTAGTGACAGAGGCTTTTGGCTTAAGTCCTGGTGATGCCATGGTTCTAAAAACTCTACAGCCTGGCCTGTCAGGAATTGGCTCAGGAGGATCCCAAGCAGGAGCCAGGCAGTTTTCTGAACACAATGAAAGTTTCCCTCTTACCCCAGTGGATATTGTAACCAGCTTCCTTCTATCAGGGGCTGAATTCCCCCAAAATCCCTTCCTCGGCTCCTACGGGAAGGTGGAGTTATGTGCACACACCCCCTGGATTCCACAGGGTACAGGATGCAGAGCTTTGGACTGCTTCCTCCACTGAGAAGAGGAAGACAGGAAAACACCTGCCAGCCCCTTTCACATGCCAGTCACAGAGAATCCCTTACTTTGAACCAACAAGAAAGGTATAAGACTGTGGTGAGGACAGGTCAGCCAGGGAGTGATGATGGACAGGACTGTCCTGGGTTTTAAGAGAGAAAGCCTTTGCCAAGGGAAGGGCTGGCCAGGAGACAATCTTACCCCATGGCCTTGTTTGGATTTGTCTTTTGTTTTAGTTGTTCATTCGCTTGGTTTCTAATGCTAGCAGAGGGTCACAATCCCAGACACAAGCAGCCAATGTTCTTATCAAGAGAACACCATGCTGCAGAGAATCGTGACATTCTGCTCCGGCCTGGGTGACAAGCTCAAAGTACCTGGCTACAGGATACAGCCTGTGCCTTCCACTCCAGGCACACAACCCGGCCACACAACTGACTTCACTTCGAAGGCCTGTGCCGTGGGATTAACCTTCAATTACAAAATTCCTTTCAAAATCCTGAAGTCATTCGTGTCGCACCTCCATAACCCTCAAGGTCATCATCCTAGCTGTACCTATTCCCCAAACACTTTCTCTTCCCGCTGTGGCCATAGAGAAAACGGTTTTTAGTGCACAACTGTTTGGAAGGCAGGTTGTTGCTTTTTTTTTTTTTTCTTAATTCCCACTGATGAGTGTGTATGAACGCCTCTCAGAGTTCTGCTTGTCGGTTAACAGAAGTCACTCTCCCTCCTCCCCCTTGGGATGGTTTCGGTCAAGAGGGAAGTAAGTACGTTTGCAGGTGGCAGTCCCTGAACAAAGGGTGACCTGTGACAGCCTGGTCAGACGCTGCCCTTGCGGCTGACTCAGGGTAACTCCTGCACAACGTCAGCCGCCACCGACACTTCTGGTTGGCCTGAACTCCGAGACAGCACAGCCTGGTTCTTCCCACAGCCACTACTTTGATAAGCCCTGTGGATAAAACCCGATCTATTTTAATAGCCAGCCGACCTTTTGACTTTGAGGCACGGCATGGCCCCTGACAAAGTCCGCACTTGAGAACCATGCCATTGAGTTACAAAACAAACAAAGGCATCTCACAGAGTCTTAAGAACGTTTATGATTCTGAGTTTGACTATATCCAGAGCCACCCTTAGCCACATGCAGCCCAGGATCGACAGGTTCAGTTTGAGACCATCTTCCTTCCAACATCAGAGAAGAAGTGAGAGCGTGCAGGATTTGTTGAAAACTCTTCAATTTCAGAAACATTTCTCGGGGTTATTTATTTAGTGTATAGTTTTATTTTCTTGTGCTGTTTAAAAGTTTTCTTTTAAAACTTGTTAAACTTCTTTTAAAACTTTGTTCCAAAACAGGTCTGGTACACATTACCATACAGTCTGTGTCAAGTATCCACTGAGAGGAATGATAGATTTCTTTTCACAACTAATTGTGTCAGCTGCTCTCCAAACTCCTGCCCCTGCTGGGAACACCAAGTAGCAGCTTGCCTGCGGGGAGAGGCTTGCCTCACACACCTCAGGGAGAGCCTTCCTTTCAGCGTCACTGAACCCTGGAAACACCCCGCTCACTACAAAAATCATCACTGCATATCTTCTGTTACAGTGTCTGCCTCAGGGAGCAGCTCGGAGCTGAGTGCTCAGCCCTGTAGCACCCAGAGACGGAGCTATAAATACTCAGTGAGTCAGTTAGTCAATCAACACACCATATCTCCCAACATATGCCCTGCCAATGCGCGCGCGCGCACACACACACACACACACACACACACACCCCTGGAGCCTTTAGAAATACTCTGTCCTCAAGAAGTGCTAGGATGCTCCAGGCAGTCCGACACAGTCTGAATTCGGAAGCCCGAGTTCTTCGGCCCAAGGTTTTGAGGCAGTCTTTTCCAAGAGACAAAAACCTTCCCAACAGCGTGTCCAAACACCATTCCAGGGGAAAATCTCAAAGAGGCTACCAAGTGTACCAGCTACATCTGTATTCACCCACAAAATCCCAGAACTACCAGAGTCTCCCTGGGTGTGGGGGTGCTACACACAGCCAGGGCTACCTTTTCAATGATTTCATTCTTTATCGACCAAAATTTTGCTCTAATTAACAAAGCTTTCCATGGGAAAAGGCCAAATGCCCATCCTGCAGTAAGGGTAGGCCTGTGGTTAGAAACCCACTAACCAAATGTGAAGTTTACGAAATGAAGCCAATGATCCAGCAACCAGAGTTCTGTCAGCCTATGTGTCTCCCACACACACACACACATACAAACACACACACAGAAAGACAGAGAGAGAGAAGGGGGGAGACTACCATCCCTTGGCCCTTACCCAAAAGCACAAAATGTCTTTCTTGTATAGCTAGAGCAAGATAGCTTTGTAAGGAAAACACTACAAGTCAGTCAAACACTTCTGACTACAGAAGAGCCTTTTGGAAGAGGATTTATCCTGTTAGAATGACCCGTGGGAAAACAATTAGAGAAGAGGTGTGCATTCAATGCCATGATACCAGAACTTTAAAGGCCACACGCCAAGCTCCTAACTGCTCTCTGAGTCCCTGAATGTTGAAGGGGCATGGAACATGAACCTGACAAGTCTGGCCATTCTTTCCCAGAGCATCTGGGGAGGGTAAGAACAGATTCAGCCAAGACTGAGGCTAAACAGATTTCCTCAGGGAAAGCTCCCTGGAGATGATGCCCAGGGCTTTAGGGCCGGCCCCATCGCCACAAAGAAGAAAGAGCCTGCACAGCTGGACTCTGGGGTGGTCTGCTGCTCAGCTCTGGCCTGCACACAAGCAGCCACCTTAGCAGAGCCCGCTCCTGAATCAGAGGCCGTCTACCACGGCTGGGTGGACACACGGATGCTCCCAACCAAGAGACGTGGGAAAGTTCACATTTCAAATACATTCATTACTTGTGCATCTGAGGGTAGAGACCGCAGAAACACTCCCCCTTGCCTTTTTAAACAGGTGTCACGTGTAAACTTGACTTAACAGGGGAGACACAAACCAGAGGAAAGTTCTGGGTATCCCACAAAGTCCCCTAAACCCTCTCTTCCAGCCGCCGGTTGCATCGGGAGATAGGGTCACCATGGAGTCCGGGACTGGCCGGGAAACTTGAGCCAAGACTAGGTGTGGGCAGCCAGCAGCTGCAAGCATTCTCCTCCCCACATCCCTTCAGAGGGGGCGACAGGGATGGGTGAAGGAGACCAGGCAGCACCTCCAGCTAGCTACTCACCCTCCTACTAGGCGTCCCGGGCGACTTGGTGCTGCCACCTGAGAGCAGGGTGACAGTGGACGTGGAGCGCAGCATCTCGCAGCGGCTGTGGAGCGAGGGCTGGGTGCCCGCGCTGCTCCGGGGCAGGATAAGCGTGCGGGGCGGGCGCACCCTGCGCGGGGGAGGCTCAGACACTTGAGGCCGTATCTTCCGCGGGGCTGGAGCCGGGCAGGGGAGGAGCCTGGGAGGAGCCCGGGAGGGGCGGGGCCAAAGAAGGTTCTCCAGACCCGTCTGGCAACATTTTCTCCCCGTCGTTGAGCGTCATCGTCTTCGTATCCCCCTATCCAGTCTTCTTGCACACACTGTGGGTCCAGGCTCTGTGGGTCCTGTTCTTTAGGCCTCACGACCCCAGCGCTTTTCACCAAACTCCGAGGACCACTGGGATCCTTGCTCTGTATCATTTTTCCCCCCAGTAACTTGAATGCCTATTATTTTGCCTTCTAGTAAACGATTGGCCCCTGCAGAATTGCACCCTAATGAAGACCCCAGAGGCGACTGCTGTCGTTGCTGTGGTAGAGGACAGGTATGTGTGCTGAGAGTGCGCAACCATTCTCTAGTCCTCAGGAGCCAGGAAGGAGGCTCCCAGAGGAAGTGACTAAGCTGAAGACCAGAAATGCAAGTTGGGGGAAGACAGACACTGGTTGTCCGTCACATTTATTCAGTGATTACTGTGTGTCCACCTGGCGGGACTGAGCACCCATTACGTCAATCAATCTTCACGACCACGCTTTGGGGAAGGTGTCATAATTATCCTGCACTCCATTTTGCAGATGGGGACATTGACTCATCAAGGGTTGAGTAAAGCAGCAGGAACCCCACCAGCTGCTGGGTGTCCAAGCTAAAAAAAAAAAAAAAAAGGTCACCTACCCTGGTCAAGCTCCTAGGTCACCTACCCTGGTCAAGCTGGAGCACTCTGCTGCCCCCTAACAAAGATGAGAGCAAGGCAAGGCAGGTCTGCAACCTATTACAGTGCAAGGGGCTGACGGGTAGAGGAACTAAAGAAAGCTGAGGCCTAGTCATTAAGAGCCTGGCCTTCGTGCTTTGGCCTTTATCATCAGGACAGAGTGCTTTGGAGGAAGGGAGGGAGAACACAGTATCTCCATTCACCCTTCAAAGCCTGGGCAAAGCCCAGCCTTCTCACCAACCTCCTCCTGCCCTCCTGCCTCCTCACCAACCTCCTAACCCGAGCACTTACACTCCCAAACCTAGAAGCTTTGTGCCCCTAGCCTGTGTGTGTGTGTGTGTGTGTGTGTGTGTGTGTGTGTGTGTGTGAGAGAGAGAGAGAGAGAGAGAGAGAGAGAGAGAGAGTTCCCAGAATAGCACCAGCAGGGAAGCTGGGCAAAGAATGTTGCTGACCAGAATTCCTCATAACCCCGTCAAACTTGCTCCTTTATAGACTAGGAAACAATAGCCATGTTTTCTGCAAGTCTGCATGAAAGTGACTTCCCAAAGTCACGGGGCCTATTCTCTGCCAGCCCTTCCTGATGCCCTCTACCAACTTCACTTCCACTATGTGTGCTCTACTTTTTAATCTTCATGTGTTTGTCTCAGTGAGTGCAGGTACTCTCAGAAGCTGGAGGCATCCAATCCCTTGAAGCTGAAGTTACCTCAGTGGTCAGCCACCCAACGTGGGTGCTGGGAACTGAACTCTGGCCCTCTGCAAGGGCAGTTAAGGTCCCTTAACACCGAGTCATCTCCCAACCCTGTGCCTGTGTTCCCGAGTGCCTGTGCTCTCTGTGTTCTATATCCACTCTCTCCTCTGGCCACGCACGACCTCACCAGGTGGATTCTGTTAACAAAGAGAAAACTAAGGCCAGACACTTGAGTTAACGGGTCAATAGCTGTACCTATTGCTTGTTACTCTATTTCTTCCTTCATCCTCCAGTCTACCTCCCTCTTTCAAAAAAATTCATGAGAAGTTTCCTTCCATCCTCTTCCACGCAGCCTTCCTGGTACTGACATTCCTAATTCTACCCATCAATAAGTAGTGATCAAAGGGTAGTTGTTGGGGCTGGAGAGTTGGCTTAGAGGCTAGGAGTAACTGCAAATGATCAGGACTTGATTACCAGCATCTACACGGTGGCTAACGATAGTCTGTAACTCTGGTTCCAGGTGGCCTAACACCCTCTTTTGGCTTCCATGGTCCACATGCCTACATGCAGATAACACGCCCATACACATAAAAAAATAAATAAATAAGCAAATCTTTTAAAGGTAGTTGCTGGGAGCCACTGGGAGTTCGAGATGTCTGCATGGTTACCTCAGTGGAGTGAAGCTAATGGTTAATGTTGTGTTGCTATTTTGCCCCAAGGAGATAGGAAAGGGGCTGTTTTTGCAGACACAGTCAAAACAATCTGGCATCAGTAATGTTTATTTATATCATGGCAACCACCCAAGTGACCATCCAAGATAGGCTCAGCGTGAAAAGAAAAGGAATTTGCATGCCTACGTTTTGTACGTTGTGCTGGTTGGTGGGGTTTTTTTTTTGTTTGGGTTTTGGTTTTTGGTTTTGTTTTGTTTGTTTGTTTGTCTTTTTCAATTTGATATACGCTAGCGTCATCCAGTAAGAGGAAACCTAGACTGAGAAAATGTTTCCATCACACTGGCCTGTATGCAACACAGGTTTGTAGAGTATTTTGCTTTGCTATGGGAAGGCGGAGCCTACTGTGAATGGAGCCGCCCCTGGCAGGTGGTCCTGAATTGGCTAAGAAAGCAGGCTGAGCAAGCCACACAGAACAAGCCAGTAAGTATCATTCCTCCATGGCCTCTGCTTCATTTCCTGCCTCCAGGTTCCTGCCCTGATTTCCCTCAGTGAAGGTCTGTAAGCTGTAAACCACTTCCTTCTCAGGTTGTTTTATCACGGTGACAGAAACCCTAACTAGGAAGCCATCTATGCACCCCAGTCCTTTTCACTTTAATATAATGGTTTTGGTTATTAACAAAGCAACAAACTGCTCACCAGCTTGTGGCTCTGATTAAGAACTGGATCCTGTTTTCATCCCCGCCCCACAGGTAAAATACACCATTGGAATGTGCTAAGTGCTCAGTAATTTTGAATGGGTGGAAAAACATTACAGGGAAACACAGCAATTTAGTCATGATCAATCCAAACCAATAAGATCCTTGCCGGCCCAATTTATAAGGTGGCCCAGGGTCTCCCGGCAGTTTGTTAATTAAGTAGCCGAAGCCCCAGCATTGCCCAGCCAGGGGCATCCCAACATCAGCTGTCACAAAGGGTTGTTTATGGGTGGTGATCACGCAGGTGCAGGCTCTGGTTCAGCTGACCTACAAGAGAAAGATGAGACCACAGGAATTACAAGAGTGAGGACATGGGCGAGGCCCCAGAAAGTGGAAAGAAGAGGAAAGCGGGGAAGGAGCAGGACTTGGAAACCAAGGCGGATGCAGGATTGAGAGGAAAAATAAAAAACAAAGCCACGTTTCTGTAAACAGTGCTGGAAGATGTTCAAATGAAGACCGACACCTTTCAGATGAGGAATTGGGGCTGGAGAGATGGCTCAGCAGTTAAGAGCATATACTGCTCTTGCAGAGAACCCAAGTTTAGATATGTACCCAAGTAGGATAGCTCATAGCCACCTGTAATTCCAGCTCCATGAGATCTGATGCTCTTTTCTGGACTCTGGGGCAACTGCTATCATGTACACCACACACACACACACACACACACACACACACAGAGAGAGAGAGAGAGAGAGAGATTATATAATTAAAACTAAAATAAGTCTTTAAAAAAATAAAGAGGAATCAAAGGCTGAGAACTCCAAGGTCTACAGAAGGAAAGGGGATAAAAGTGATAGGGGCAGGGACAGAGCTCTGGTGCAGAAGGCCATCAAGCAATCTTCCCACATGCTGGGCCCTCCCTACACATTGAAGGTGAATGGATGCTATCGTCAGTGCTAGAGGGACCAGGAGTCTGACAGCACTGTCTTAGCTGCCATTATTTTCCATCATGATAACAGCCTTGATTTCATAAGCTCTGTCTTAACTGCCTCCTCTGCTGAAGCCTGTGTGAATAGCCTTCCTTTTCCTGGAATCAGGTTCTAAAAACTGAGCCTCCTTCTCTCAGATCCTCCAGGCCTCTGCTTCCTTAACTGTCTTTGTTGCTGTCTGATGAAGCCTCCCTAAACTCTGGGCATCCTTAGCTAAGGGCTTTGGGGTGGGATCCACTTCTCTAGCAAAGTCCTGAGAAGCAAAGATTGTTTTTATTTTTGGGGAGAAAGGATCAAGAGTTGAGTTATTTGCCAGACACCAGAGCACAAAATAGGTGAGTCCGGGGCACGCTAGGCCTTCCGGGATTTGTTTCCTCTTCACTCTTGAGTCCCTGAAGAAATCCCTTTCTTCCTCTGTCATTGGACTGTGACAACATCCCAAAGTCCTGGCATATCCTCTTCTGAATGCCACAGAGACCAAATGTTCACAACGGAGAAAGAACACATTTCCAGCCCAGGGGGGACAGGGTGTTGAGTTACAGAGTGCCTTTGCATAAGTAGAATAAGTAACAGCCATATTGACAGGCCTCTGGGAGGAGGGAGCTGGGCCCAGCGATAAGGACAGCAGGCTGAGAAGAGCCCAATCCCCAGACGACTGGCTCCCTCAGATCCTCAGCATTTATAAGCCAGTCTAGACATGGGCTGGATCTGCTGCTGACCTACTCTAGAGATACAAACTCACCAAAACAATTCTGTGACCTCAGAGCTAGCCAGCGAACAAATGGCACATTCATCAATCTAAACTCTCCTGTTTGGGTTTGAGTAAGCAATGCTTCCCACAGGCTGTATGTAGTGTCTGCTTCTTGGTCCCTGGGTAGAGGCTCTCTGTTTTTTTTTTATGAGGCAGTGGAACTTTTAGGAAGACCGGTCTGATTGGAAGAAGTGGGTCACTATTGGCAGGCCTTTGACCAGAGTAGAGTCTGGCCAGACTTCTGGCCCCATTCTTTTGCTTCCTGTTTGGCAAAAATGTGAACAGCTGCTCAGCCATATGCTCCTCCCAGTATAGACTAAGCCACTCCCGCCACTGTGCCTTCTGTATCTTGATGACAGAAATCCCCT